AACATGACATCACGCCTTTTATCCCCGAAGGGGTAGGCAGAGGTGCACACAGAAGTAACACCCACTTTTCACAATTTATGAGTCCCATGTAATATGGGGTGAGCCTATTGCCATATACAATTCCAGACTCCGTGCTATTACTGAAATTTTTTTTCAAAACTCAGTAATACTGTGCCCGATCCGGGAATCGAACCCGCACTTGCGACCACTCGGCCAACAAGGTAGTCAAAACTTAAAATCTCATCTATAGTTCCAAAATGTTCGTTTTATAACCTCGTTCTCAATATATTATAATCGTGGTTAAGTTCATATACTACACCGTGGTGTGGTAACTCATAAAATTTAACCGACACCCCCGCTGATAACGTGCGATAAGTTAATTTGAATTTAAAAATGAATCCGCTAAAAGACAGCCTTCCATTTCTAGGTGGGGCTACGAAAACAGCGGATGATAGATTATTATTTTTTCTTTTTTTTTTTATGGAATATATAAGTCGGTAAACGAGCAGACGGATCACCTGATGGTAAGCAATCGGCGTCGCCCATGGACACCTAGAACACCAGAGGCGTTACAAGTGCGTCACCGGCTTTTTGGGGATTAGGAGTTTGAGGATCGTTGGGGGATTCAGGGATTGGGGAGATTGGGGAAGGGGAAGGTAATTGGGCCTCCGGTAACCTCACTCACACGAGAAACACAACGCAAGCGTTGCTTCACGTCGGTTTTCTGTGAGGCCGTGGTATCACTCCGGTCGAGCCGGCCCATTCGTGCCGAAGCATGGCTCTCCCACACTTGAATATAGTAATGTTTTACAACATTATACCTATTTTTATTGTTTTTTTTAAGGGCGGGATCATCGAATGACGTCTCCTGCCTGGGTGAGGCGGGAGCGAGTGTCAGACTCTTACTGACAAATAACCACCCTGTTCCTACTCCTGCACTTCGAGCCGGAGCACCGGTAACCCGTTAGATCAGTAGTAGGTATAGATTTTTATACTGTTAACTATAACAAAATGTTACGATTTTAATTTCTATAAAATGTTAAAATTGTTTTATAAACTACGTTTAAAAAAACCGATTCCAACTCTCTGTTTTTTCTCTTGGTTCAGCCAAACCCGAGATAATCGCGCAGAAACATACATACATACAGATAAAACTGAGATTCTACTTTTTTGAAGTTGGTTATAAATAAAATGCAACAAAATTATTCGCCGATTTTCTAGCCACAATCGCAAGATTCACCCATTTGAATCGATACGCTCCCCAGCTCTTATTAGAAGGGAGATTCGAGAATGCAAACCTATTACGTATATTGTGAGGATGGCTACATCACAACGTACCAATGTAAGTGTAATGACTTCATTTATAACGACTTTTGAAATAGCCACCTTATATTCAAGAAATTAGAGGATATTTTTATGTAATCTTTTGTTTATGGAGACACTGAAATACATAGTGCACAACAATGTCGTTTTATCTGTTTGCCCCTATGTATTTATGTAGAAGAGACATGATTCGGCACGAATGGGACGGCTCTACCGGCGTGATGTCACGGCCTTACAAGAAACCGGCGTGAAACAACCAAAATATTGTATGTACCTGTGTAAATGACGTTACCGGAGGCACAGTCCGACATCCTGGCCCGAATTCAAAGACTGACAACGCATTCGTAACTGCTCTGGTGTTGTGGGTGTCTATATACCTACATACATATAATAGTCAATAGGTAGCACCAAGCTTACTATCAGATGATCGGTCTTGTTAGTGAATAGGAACGCAACTAAAATATATATTTCTTGTCTGTGGCGCCGCAATTGTCATTCCGTTTGTCTCTGTCTTGATAATAACTCCGGTTGTCGTGTTCTCTAAATAAAACTTGTAATAACTAAAAATACTCTCTAATTATTTACCACAACCACGATTCATATTCCTTTAGGTCTGCTAGTTTGACTGACTTGTCGCATATAAAAAGAAAATAAAATATGGGTAATAGAGTAACAATAGTTATTGAGACGTCGATACATGAAAAATGGCGGGCGCAGTACATCCGGATCAATCGCTCTCAGGAAATTATGTCGAAGTGAATCAGCAAGTCTGGTAGCTGCACATTTACGATTACATTTTGGGTCGGTCACACATCACAAATCAACAGCCTATAAGTGCCCACTGCTGAGCAAAGCCGCTTCTCATACAGAGAAGGTTTGAGCATTAATCACCACGCTTGCTCAATGCGGCTCAAATTTAGAATAAGAAATTATAAGCCCAAGTTTCCTCACGATGTTTTCTTTCACCGTTTGTCAGTGGTGTCTAAATAATCTTAGAAAGTACGTATAACTGGGAAAACGTCACATTGGTACATGCCATTGGTACGTAGGTCTAGTACTTGCACCCTCATAAATTAGAAGCGAATTAAACTGTCAAACACCAAGCGGTCACCGGTGACCGCAACCTATTGTTCTATAATTGTGTCTACAAAACCGGTACTAGACGAGTTAAACCTCCGGGCCACCACGACATTCTTTTTTTCTGTCGGTCGCTATTTTATGTTTTAACTAAATGACTTCAAAAAAGAAGGAAATTCCCATTTTGACCTGAATTATGTATGTTTATCCGCAACTATCTCAAAATCGACGGAGCCCATTGAGTTTTAGAAAAGAAAAGTGTTGCCACATGAAAATCTGTTCAGTCAATCGTAGACAAACAGTATAAATCTTTTTTTTTTGGAAGTCGTTAAAAAATCGCTGTCAAAAAGGGCTGCAAGTAATAAATGCTACAACTCGTCAAATCGTAGGTAAATCTACGGTTCAGAGCGAACTATCGGCCGCTATATTTGCTAATTACTCAAACTTTGTTATTGTAGCTCAGAGCTTCATTCCAGCTTACAGTTTCACCAATGTTAGCAAATAATCATTGTTTTAACGGAATCTAGGTTCGCTTCCAGACTAACTTGGCTCATAAATTTGCGGTTATGATTTCAAAATGGTGGATTTTGTATAACCAAAAAGATTCAGTTTATCTTTAACCAACGCAAAATAGGAAGTTAAAGTCGGTTTCATGTTAGTATGTTTGTCCGTGTTTACCTCGCAATTGGCGAAACCGATTTGGTTAAGATTTTCAGATATGTGTTTGTTACACACAAGAGCTAGTTTTAGTAGCCCGGCCCGGGATTCGAACCCGATACCCCTTGCCCAACAGTTGCACTTGCGACCACTTGGCAAACGAATCCACGACACAGAAGAAAAACGTATAGAATCACGATTAAAACCCTTAAGTTCACAAGCAAGCCCTAAAACTCAAACACAAACATAAAAACACACACAAACATAAAACGGGGCGTAAACTTTTTTATTCGTACATAAAGAGACAATATTTTTGTATCTACTTATATACAACTATAAAAGTCATCTATTAAATAATACGGTTCCATACATACGAAGACTAAATGTCCACAAAAATGATGACCATTTTAAAAGCAAAGGGTCTTTTTAAGACGTAAAGCTCGAGGGACACACGCATAATACCCCTAAGACGATACCAGCGCCCCCTACCCTGCGGAAAATTGAATTTATGCTTCATTCTCCATAAAATGCCTATGCCAAATTTATTTTAGAGCATTAGCATATTAAAACGACTCTTACCTTTGTACGGTTGGTGTAAAAATTTTTTTGGCACAGTTTATTTTTTTTTTACTGAAGAAACACAAAGAAATAACACCAAAGAGTGTCTAAGTCTGACCAGTATATACGTATGTTATTGTTTGTACTTATGTATTTATTTTTTATAGCATAAGCCGGTAAACGAGCAGACGGATCACCTGATGGTAAGCAATCGGTACCGCCCATGGACACCCGAAACATCATAGCATTACAAGTGCGTTACCGGCCTTTTGGGAATTGGGAATTTGAGGATTGAGAAGGATTCGGGAGACTAGGGAGGGGGGTAATTGGGCCTCCGGTAACCTCACTTACACGACGAAACACAACGTAAGCGTTGTTTCACGTCGGTTTTCTGTAAGGCCGTGGTATCACTCCGGTCGAGGTATCATACTTAACATATATGTACCTCTATGTTTGTCAGGTAAAACCTTCTGGTTTTATTCAACTTCTAAAAAGAGTAATAGTCTGTTTTTTAAACATAGTTCATTAAAGCCTCATAAGTATTTAACATTCATGGCGATCCAAAAATGGACGCAAAGTGGTGGGTTAAAATTTTTATTAAAGTATTTTTTTTTGCTACCCATACAATCGGCGTACTTTAAATAATAAGATCAGTACTTCTTATACGAGGCATAAAAATCTAGATGTGTTCCAAAACATCGCGCTTAATGCCACTTGAGGTGAGCAGAAAGAGTAATGTCTATTACCAAACATTTTCGGAAAAAAGTGGTTTTTGTTCACGCCAAATTGGTGTTAGAGTACTTTAGAGCCGCCATTTTTATTTTTACTTACCCTACTAAGAACCCTTATATCCTTCTCGCCCCAGCGGTCGCAGGGAACACTCCAGGCGTTGGGGTTTGCGCGACGATCTCCGGCCACCGTAAGCACTGCGGACGGTGAGCACGGGTAGCTCGCCATCCGATCAGAACCAGGCCCATGCGGAGGCGCGCGCGAGATGTGGGTTCCAGCTCGAAGCAGGAGAAGCAACGGCGTGGTTTTTAGTCAGAGTCTTGCACTCCCCTCTCGCCTCACCCACGACGGGAATATGGTTCTCACTCTAAACTCATGAGACTTGATAGACCTGAAGTCTCATGACTCATATCATTGGATAATATTATACCTTTAAAAAAACAGCCAGAAAATAATAGCAACAAATTAAGATTATAAAAATTAAAAACTAATTTTCTTTATATCAAATTAATGGAAAACTAATGAAGAACAGCACAAAGCTATAATCGATTCATTAATAATCATAATAAATTTATTTTTGAAAAAGTACTTTCAATAACTTTCAAAAATTATATTTTTACTAACGCGTCTTGATTTTATGGTTGGTCATATGACACCGTGCAATCATTAATATTGATTTTTTACGGTACTCGTAGGTTTTTATAAGCTGCGAAAGGTTTAGTAGCAGCGTCACTGTGAGCTGGCAGCAATGAGGTGGATAATCCTATCTTCTCTTTGCCTGGTTGTTGCACTAGCTGCTCCAGCGGTAAGTAGAAAAAATAATATATTTCCCGCCGTCTATGGCATAAAGGTAGGTACGTGTTAATGAGAATTGAATTCGAATTGTAAGGTTTCAATGTCGTTTATTGATATTTTGTTTTTTTTATTTAATATGCCTAAATAATAGTTTTTTGACATTACACTAGGCAATACATTATTTTACTTTACATTCTTTTAATATATATTTTTCACTTTGACAAACTTTATTATTTTAATCAACTGTATTATTATTTCTTTTAACTTTACCGTTCTGTAACTTTATTGTTTACACCCTCTCAATGTTTTATACTGTCATCAAATTAATTCATCACAAATAGAAGTCCACAATTATAATAACTGTGAGTGGTTACAACACAAAAGTATATCCGCAACATATAGATTATTTTCATAAGGTGGTCGAAAACCGAGACAATGATGGTATAATTAACAACTATAGTAAAGTTTTCGGATTGTAGAATATGCTAAGGTCTGTATGCCCTGCGTATGCTGAGCACCACGGTGTCCTCAGAGTTGTGATCGGCGTTGGCGACCTCTCGCATCCAGCTTTGTTTCAGACCATGGTACCGAGGGAGGGGAACTAAGATCGTCTTTTCCTACTGCGAAGCAATCATGTTAGCTAAGGGGGAGGCGGGGCGCGTGAGGGTAATAACGTTCTCACGCCCCAGCCGTCGCGGGAGTCACTCCGGGCGTCGGGGTTCGCGAGACGATCCCCGGCCACCGTAAGCACGGCCTGCAGACGTCCATCGAGGGTAGGTCGCCGCCCGATCAGAACCAGACCCGAGTGCCTCAAAGAGCCATCAGACCACCACAGATAGGGCCCAATAGGGTTGATGCCGATACGCATGCGGAGGATTTAACAGATTGCCGGGTCTCCGGCTTGAAGTGCAGGAGTAGGAACGGGGTCGTTTTAAGTCAATAAGAGTCTGACACTCCCTCTTACCTCACACGCCTGACCGAAGAAGTCATTGGATGATATTGCCCCCTCAAAAAAAGATATCCCCTTAAATGAAATATCATTGAGATTGGTATACATGCTTAAAAATATGTCATTTTCTCCAATTAAATGAAAATAGAATTAGCAACATATTATTATGAAAATCAGGAACATTTCATTTACCTTAAAATAGTACTTTTATTGATGAACAGAATTCTGTTGTATAGGACCAACGCGACCGAAACAATGATGATGAGTACGATATCGAATTGGTGTGCAGTTATTATGTTTTCATTGATAACTTACCTACTAAACCGTTTGTCTTTTAATATTCCCAAAAACCCCCTGAACCAACAGGCACTAAGAGCTCTCCAGGAACCATCTCTGATATTCTTTAATCTGCTACAATTAGGATTTAAAAGAAAACCACGAAGTGTAATCAAACACTTGAAAAACAGCGTCACTTAGTAAAACATCTAGGTTATCAACTTAAGACTAATTAAGCTTAAGGTTACACACATACTGTCATGTTGATTGATTGTACAATAAATAAAGCTGCGCTCAACTCGAATGCAAACAATAAGGGAAAATAATGTGATCTACACAACTGCGTGAGGCAATGTATGTTATTATAATGATTATCGCGAGACATGCTGAATTAACTAAAAATCACGAGTTTAGCTTAAAAGCCGCCAATACGTGAGCCAAGCCAAGCCTTTACCTCACAAGGGATTCATCCTCTTTCTCTAAAATACCTTCCACAGTCTTCAGATAGGGCAACTATCAAAAAACTACGTTGGCTGCATTAATCCGACGGTAAATTAGAATGAAAAATGTAATTTCCATCACAGTAATGTGAATTGTGGCTTTGCAGTCAAGTAAAAAAAAAAATTGCAGGAAGAAATTCCAATAGGAATATGTGGTACCTTTGTACTTTAATTTTATGTATGTGTTGTCCTTTATATTGTATGTGTGTACATAAATAAATAAATAAATAAATAAATAAATAAATAAATATTTTATCATAATCACCGACTAAACAATAGATAATTTCATGTCAACTTTATACATATAACAGCTTAATTTTAATCCGCAGAGGCTGGAACGTAGAAATAACAGACGAAATGGCGACGGACACGATAAGGACTGGCGAGATGAAGATAGACTATATAACGGCAGACGAGATGGTGATTGGCGTGATAACAATAGACGAGATAACGATAGACAAGATAACGATAGACGTGATGACGACAGGCGTGATGATGATGAGTGGGATGACGATAGGCGTGAAGATGATAGGTCGGATGACGACAAGATAGAGGATGATAAGCGTGATGACGACAGACGAGAAGGAGATAGACGAGATAATGACAGATGGGATGTAGACAGTCGAAGAAATGATGACTGGCGAGACTACGATAGGGAAGATAACAATAGAAGAGATAACGGCAGACGAAATGATGATAAGCAACACGGAAGAAGAAATAACAGACGAAATGATAACAATGGTCAACGATCATTTTGCGGGGTAGATTGAAGTCATTTATTTTTTATTTAATGTACTGAATACTAGAAAAATATCAGATTTATTGAATTGGCTCTAGTTTTTGAGGTAGGTAAAGTCTATAATATGATTTTACTGAAAATACCTTGTTTAAAGTTTCAGTACATAGAAAAGCAATACAAAAACGTAATAAATATATAGGTATGCATTCTATCTAAATGATTGACTAAAATATAAAAACGTTTTCTGTAGGCTCTTCTATCATGTAATTGGTCTAGAAAATTTCTTGGTATGAACCAGCAGTCTACCATCTTGTGGCGGTAGGTCTTGCTATCGTTCTTTAATTTTTCCTAATGGAACCAATCTACTATTTCCTCACTATGATCGCCCAGGTTATCCAGGAATCTGTCGCAATGGCTATGAAAAAAAAACAAAATTTTCATCGCTCATATCAGCGCTTAGTCAATTTTTTTTAAATTTTTTGCTTCTACTTCTGTCTAGTCTGGTGCTTTATACAAAGTTTCTCGTAAAGAAGAAGTAAGAAAGTTATTATAATCATTCGAACATGGTTTTCGTAGTGAAGTCATGGGTTCCAGACTCCGTGCTACAACTGAGAATTTTTCAAAAACCAACTAGTACTTTGCCCGACCCGGAAATCGGGCACTTGCGACCACTTGGCCAACGAGGAATACAAAAAGTGCTATTATTATTATTAAATGGATATTAAAATACGACACTAATGTATGACTTCAACGTATTTAAATATTATTTGGTGATTAAATACGTGAGCAAATAACAAAGCTTAGTCAAATAAAATCAAATTTCATTAAAACAAGAAAAAAATTTCATCGATTTATTGTATCGCGTGTATCTCATGGACCAGAGCCAATTCAATATCAAAAATACGCAATATATGTCTGCAATAACAAGTATTTTATAAAATCGATTTTAATTTATAAAAACGATAAAAACATTTAATTTTGTTTTTCAGTGTCATGGATAGGCGTGATGTAAGTAAGTTTCATAATCATTTGTTACTTATAATCGAGTATATAAAAGTTTATAAACGAATTAACTATTTTTTTCTTTTCGTAATTTGGAAAATCATCCAATGACTTATAATGTGGGGTTTACAAATGCGTTGAGGGTCATATTTATTTATTTTTTATTTATTGAAATAGGTATACCAACAGCTTCTGTATACATAGTATTAAGAGATAATTAAGATAACAATAGGTATTGGGCTTGTACAGTCGCCACGCCTTTTTATCTCCGAAGGGGTAGGCAGAGGTGCACATTTCGGCACTTAATGCAACTGTACAATGTAACACCCACTTTTCACTGTTTATGTTATGAGTTCCTTGTAATAGGGGGTGAGCCTATTGCCATATACCGGGCACATTTCCAGACTCCGTACTATAACTGAGATTTTTAAAAACCTAGTAGTACTTTGCCCGACCCAGGAATCGAACCCGAGACCCCTTGCCACCTCTTGCAACGAAGCCGTCTATTTCAGTCAGTATTTTTTTAAATTAATTATGTTCAATTTTCAGGACTGAGGATACTAGACAAGATGTTAAAGAACATATAAAATATTGATATAAGATGACAAACTGCTACTCACCAAAGGACAAGAAATATGCTTAATTATATTATTTAAAGCAATAATGAAAAATATAATAAAAACTGACTGAAGCCTACGGCTTTACTCGCATGTATAACAGACTTTGAGACCTACCCTTATTTTACTACTGAGTAAAATTCCAATAATTTAAAGTATTAAAACGTTTTTTAAAAAAAATCTCAGTCGTAGCATGGAGTCTGGAATTGTGTCCGGTATATGGTAATAGGTTCACACCCTATTACATGGGACTCATAACATAAATAGTGAAAAGTGGGTGTTACATTGTATAGTGGCATAAGTGCCGTAATTTGCACCTCTACCTACTGTTTCGGGGATAAAAAGCGTGATGTTAGGTATGTACAATTTATAAACTACTGAAACATTTATTTGTTTCACATCAAAAACAGAAATGTAGAACTTGGTTTATTTTATTATAATCGCATCCATTATATTAACCAATGAACTCGTTGAGTACCGTCATTATAGACACAATTATAGAACAATAGGTTGCGGTCACCGGTGACCGCTTGGTATTTGACAGTTTTCATATCACGCCATAATGTTTAATGTATCTCATAATTTTATTATACTTCAAATGGAACTCGATGTCCAGGTCTCTTGAATAAGGAGCCATCAGACCATCACAGATGGGGCCCAACAGGGCTGATGCCGATACGGAGCCGCGGAAGACTTAACGGGTTGCCGGGGCTCCGGCTCAAAGTACAGGAGTAGGGACGTAGTGGTTTTTAGTCAGTAAGAGTCTGACACTCCCTCTCGCCTCACTCGGGCGGGAGAAGTCATTGGATAATTTTCGCCCCTCAAAAAAAAGGTGTCTTAAATGAAACAAAGGCCATTGTACTTTCCTACTAATACTATAAAAGCGAAAGTTTGTGAGGTTGTGTGTGTGTGTGTGTGTGTGTGTGTGTGTGTGTGTGTTTGTTTGTCTTTTACGTCAAAACAGCTGAAGGGATTGGAATGAAATTTGCAACAGGGATTGATTATGGTATGGAATAACACATAGGCTACTTTTTATACCACCGGAACTGGCAGAGCTAGTTGATTATAAATCTTACTATTATTATAAATGCGAAGGTTCGTGTGTATGTTTGTTTGTCACTCAATCACATCGAAACGGCTGAAGGGATCAGAATAAAAATTGGATAAGAGATAGATTGTGGTATGGACTTACACATAGGCTATTTTTTTTCCATGTGGAATGCGGATGAGAACCTATTGTATGTATATTTAATGATTTATTATAAAAACTGTAAAGCAATTGGACACATCCAGTTATATGTCCCTAATAAAAGAGGCAATAACAGAAAAGACGTAATAAATTAATCATTATCTTTTTCGCTTAGTCACGTAACTGTTCGACGAGGCTCTTGACTAGTTTCAAACCATTCTAAGGAAGCCGAAAACATAATATGTTAAAATACTCATAATATACATAGGTAAATTCTCTTCTTCTTTTCTATTTTTATCTTTCTAAGCCGCAATCGGATGAAAACATAATCCTAAAAGCAATCATAAGTAATAGGGTGTCTTCGTCACGTGAAATTCCGAGGACTGTGGCGTCATCAATCGTCTTAAACGGTGCGATTTAAATTTCAAATTTGTCCTCATTTAAAGCTCCGAGTTGAACAAATGGGAACTCTTAGGTTTCAGAGACTCGTTTCTGAATGTTTTCTAGATAGGATGGTTATACTAATGGCCACTTTGGGTAGGCATTCGTGCTACGAATTGCTGTCTAAGGTCACTGATTATGCTTATATTTCTTCTTTTGTTTTTTATTGTAATATAGTATAATAAAGAATTACGTAATTGTCTCCATTCTATAAAAACTATCGTGAGACATTCTAAATTAACTAAAAATTGCGGGTTACTCACTTGAATATACTGAGAAAAGCTCTACTAGTTTCGAACCACAGAGGGGTTCTTCCTTATGAGCAGTGTGCGCGGTCGCGGTGATGTCGAGCAGCCTACTGGTCTTCATTTTATCAAATAAAATCGTTGCTTGCCTCTTGCACCTACCTACTTCTCTGCATCACCCAAAGGTCAGACTGGGAGAAAATGCCTGCAGCGTATGTATATTATAGCATAGCATATTAAATAAATAAATTAAAAAATATTGCAGAGTAAAAAAGGTAGCAGTCACATACTACCAAAGAACTATCTGTCAAAGATTATGATGCCCTTTCACTCCACAACTTTTGATCCATCATCTACAGCCTACAAGTAAGAAAGAAAGAAAGGAAGAAACCATTTATTTTGCCACGCCACACAACAAGAATTTTAGTACACACAAAAAATCCCATGGTGTATTGTAGCACAAAAGGCTGGAGCTCAGCTTAATACCGTGGACCTGGCACAGAGGCTCGAGCCCACGGCGCTGATTTGCTAAGTGTTCGCTGACACTCTCTCTCACCTTACCCAAGGTCGAAGAAGTCATTGGATGACTTTTCTGACGTCAAAAAAAGTTTCCTCGCTGTTTCCCTCATCATATGTCAGTGGTGTCTACACACATAACATATCACACCTTGTCACGCCACTATATAGAAAAAAAAAACTTTGCCCGACCCGGGAATCGAACCCAAGACCTTTTACCCGGCAGTCGCACTTGCGACCACTCGGCCAAAGAGGCAGTCATGGTGTCTAAATTGTCTTATTAAGAGTGAGTCGATAGAATTCGGAATAGGTCACATAATAACCACATACGATTAGCAAAAAAAATGGTTGCCTGTAAAGTCGTTTTTACGGGCGAAGATTTTACGTGACAACGTCTTTTTCTCGGTTGAATATTTATTGATATGAATATAATTAAATTGCACAATAGGAACAAGGAATTGAATGAACTAGTGCTGCGCGCGCGGCAGACCGATCATAGTTGAGTGGGAGAGAGACGCAAGGCATTCGGCGGGCCTCTCACTCGTTCGGTGACTCATCGTAACGTTACCGAGCGTTACACTTTTTCATAAGTGACTCCCAGCCGCAACCTAATTTAAGACGTTGTCACGTCAAAAAAGTGGTGAATTTAGAAAACTGTGTAACCTAATATAACTGTGTTTGGTTCAATAGATTAATTCTCCGTCAGACCCTTACTGAAGATTAAGTTGAAAAAGTTTTGGGTCTACGTGGCCGAGGTTACGGGTTAACTAGTGAGGGGCAATAGGACCCAAGTTGACGGTGTATATTTTAAGCACCATTAGTTTATGAAAGAGATTGTTCATTTCACGTAAGCTAATATATTGTGTGTCTTAATTTTGAGTGTAATAAATCTTATCTTATATCTACATCTACATTAATAATAGTATAAAGAGGAAAGATTGGGTATTTGTTTGTTTGAATTGAACAGAATCCGAAACTACCGGACCGATTTAAAAAAATATTTTCCGTTGGAATCCTACATTAACAATAATGATCGTAACATAACATAACATCACGCCTTTTATCCCCGAAGGAGTAGGCAGAGGTGCACATTATGCCACTGTACAATGTAACACCCACTTTTCACTATTTATGTTTTGAGTTTCATGTAATAGGAGGTGAGCCTATTGCTATATACCGGGTACAATTACAGACTCCGTGCTAAGATTTTTTTTAAAAACCCAGTAATATTTTGCCCGACCCGGTAATCGAACCCGAGACCCCATGCCCGGCAGTCGCACTTACGACCACTCGGCCAATAAGGCAGTCGCGGAAGTAACTAGTGTAATAATAAAACATTGTACCGATTTTTTGAATGGAAAGTGGGGTCCACTTTTTCAGTTTTCATGACTATTAAAATTAAGATAGAGTGATAGATGTGGTCTACGACATTTCATTCGCCTATGCAAAGCATGTGTGTATTTATAAAGCTTCAAATTAAACACGGCTTTTCATCCCCTCCACTTAGGATTGTAACTATCTTGATTAGTTTATAGTAATTTAATGTAACAGTAAAGTCGCTAATAAATAAATAAGAATCAAGATCACCGGGGCTTTCATTTCACAACCAGCAACAAGTACAGGCACGGGTTGGTTTTTAGTCACGAAGAGTCTGACACTCCGTCTCGCCTCACCCGAGCGGGAGAAATCATTCCATGACTTATTCCACTTAAAAATGTCCCCGTTAACTTGTCACCGCTACCATCACCATACGACAATATCTTTGTACCTACATCTAAATAAATAAAACAAAGGGGGAAATGAACTCTATTACCTAATTAGTAATGATACCACGTAATAATTAGCACCTGTGTGGAGCAGCTTCCACGATTTATAACTCCACTGCGCGAGTCCCGTGGACCGCCGCCTGGAAATTGCACCGACGTCCGATTTATGTTACATTTAAGACTTGTTTACAATGCTGGTGTAGTATTTGAGACTTTTTATTGTACCTAAACGTAATAACCTTTTATTTTCTTATTAGCTTTCAAAGTCAAAGTCAACGCCATTTATTTCAATTAGACCAGCAAGGCACTTTTAAACGTTAAACTAACCTCCAGTTGGTCAGCGGGCAACGGCTTCGCAGGCGCTTGTGATTGGTGACAGGTTTAAATTATACACGATGTTTTTGTTTTTATTGGCCAACTTAATTAGTCCGCATACCAATTTTAGACTTGTGTGACACATAGCAAAGAATACTACTCCTTAGCAGTCTAAGGAGTAGCTTGTTGTTTTCTGAAGGGTGTCAAAGCCGAAGTGATTAGGTTGCTTATGGGCAGACGTGCTTCATCGTAGGCTGCATTATCGCTTACCACCAGGCGAGATAGTGGACAAACGTCGGCCCATCAAATATAAAAAAGGCTTTCTACTTTAAACTGTCAAACACCAAGCGATCACCGGTGACCGCAACCTATTGTTCTTTAATTGTGTCTATAATGACGGTACTCAACGAGCCAATGATACACAAGGGGAGAAATGGCCCACCTCATATATAAGTGACATGTCAGTGAAGCTGGCCTACTTCACCTGACATATATGGCGGCAACGAGCGAGGAAGACACCTGTGTCGCGTTATGTTGCTAGACATGTCGACCAAAGTCCGGCGGCAACGTTGCGCTACTTCACCAAACGTCGCTGGCGATACGTGTCGTGTTGCAGAACATTTATC